GGAAGCGTCCGCGAAGCGCCAGCGCGCGAGGGAAGCAGAAGCAGAGAGTACGACCATCTCAGGACCGAAGAGAAAGAGAGTCGGGGAAGCGGCGGTGGGGGGGAAGAAACGGCGACCGGGCATTGCTGTAGAAGCGAGTAGGGCGGCCGAGGCAGCACCTGTGGCGAACTATTTTTTTTTTTGTGTGGCGAACTATGTACCCGGCTGATGTTGTTGCGCCCTGTTTCCCTCCCTGCTGTATGCTACACTCCTTTATGTTTGTCCTTTGTATTGCCTTCGGCCTCTGTGCTGTGTTTCTATTTTTCATGACCTTCCTGCCTACTCTGCTGTGTTGGGTACCTTGATCTCGTTTTTGCTGTTGCTTTTGTTTTTGTACATCTGGCTGTCTGCCCATCTGCCGCTTCTTTGTCCTGTTTGCTCCGTTAGTCCCATGCCCTGGTGCGTAGTGCCTGGTGCTGGTACGTTACCCTTTGATTTTTTCTTTAGGCGGGTGTGGGAAGCGTCCTTCTTTATTTTTGTCTTTGTTTTTTTTTTATCGGTTTCCGAGGGCTCTTTTCTCGAACGGTCGATGCGATACCTGTTCTTTCTAGCATATCATTTTGTTTTGTTTTTCCGAGTGGTTTGTACCCTATTTTTGTTTTGTTTCCCCGCGGCGTCGTATGTGCCGGGTTTTGAGACCACGGGCTCCCCATTTTTTGTGGACTAATGAGCTAATGTGAGAAACAACTGTAGAGGTGTGGGACTGTCACCTTAGGGTGACTCCCTCGGCTCCTCACAGCTGCTGCCCACACAACCACACCAGCAGCTTGCAGCAGCAGCATACACGCATACGCACAACCACACCAGAGCATCATACACACGATGCGATGCGCGGCTGGAGAAATGTGTCTTGCCCCACACGTCACGATTGATGAGCCTCCCGATGGGCATGTGTGTCACGGAGGTTGTGGCGCCCGGCTTCACGAAGGGTGTGGCAATGTGGAGAATGTGGAGAGTGTTGACGAGGGAAGCTCCGAGACACTCCGCATCTGCATGTCATGCGCCAACAAGAAGCCGGCTGCCGGCAGTTCGTCTAGCGCCGGTAAGCGCATAGCGGCCGGCTCCACTTTGCCTCAGGGGAGGTCGGCCACCTCCAGGAAGGCAGCGCGTGGCGGAGCAAGCAAGCGCAGGCAGCTTACCCTTGGTGAGAAGATCGAGATCCTCGAGCTGTTGAAGCAGGACACATCGCACGCGGACATCGCGCGCAGGTTTAAGTTCGGCGAAAGCACGGTGAGCAAGGTCGCCGAGCAGAGGAAAACCCTGGAGGAGAGGGCCGCTGCAACTGCTGCGCGTCAAGATTCAGCCACGACACGAGGAGGTCAATTTCCCGAGGTGTGTCTGCGCAAAAAAAAAATGTCCCACTGCTGCAGTAGTTTTGTATGTTGCGTTATGCACACTGCTGTACCGCAGCAGTACTCCGAGTACATGTATTTGGAGAACGAATCAATTTCCCGAGGTTTGTGTGCGCAAATAAAAAGTCAGCATACTGCTGCAGAATTGTATGTTGCATCGTGCATACTGCTGCAGTACTTCGAGTATGTATTAGAGAATAAATATACAATCAACATGCGTGTGATACTGATGTGAGCTCTGGAGCTCCCAAGCACGCTCGACAAGCCGCCGAGTATGGTTAATTCCTGTTTTGTTTTGTTTTGTCGGCGATACACAATGCGAGTGTATGCGCATGTGTACATTGCATGCATACAAATCCCGGGTGTGTACAGACCATTATGTGCAGTCCACAATGTTCTCACTAGCTCACGTATTGAGAGTGATTTACAGTATGTATACCCGTACAACTAATAATCCTGGCTTAACGCAACTCCACCGTCACACTCCCCCCTCCCGCAGGTTGACAAGCGTGTCATGGCTTTCGTCGAGGAAAGCAGGAAGCATGGGCTGCCTGTCACGCGTGCCACGATGCAGTCTTTCGGGCATGCGGCCAAGAAACCAGTGATGGGGCTGGAGTGACAACTAAGGCAACCGAGAAGCAGAAACTCCAGGCGTTCGGGGCGAGCGAGACTTGGTCAGCACGACGCTCCACGGCCAGGCCGACAGCGTCGATCCGCCAGCTATCGAGGCGGGTATGGCGGCTGTCCGCGACATGTGCAAGGGATACGATCTGGAGAACATCTTCAACGTCGACGAGACAGGTATCTTCTACAAGCTGATGATGCCGAACCGCACATACCTGTCAACGGGGGAGAAGCGAAAGACAGCGAGGGGCGCCAAGGGCATGAAGGCTAAGGATCGCGTGTCAGCGTACATGTGTACCAACGCCACCGGGGATGGCAAGGTGCCGATGTCGATCATCGGCAAGTCCAAGAACCCCCGCTGCTTTCGCCAGAGAGCTTGCCCGACCAAGTACTGGGCACAGGCCAACGCTTGGTCAGACGGCCTTACTTTCGAGAAGTGGTGGCTCGAGGTGTTCCTGCCCTTCGTTCGGAAGTGGACTCATCGCCCGGTGCTCCTCCTGATGGACGGGTGTGCGTTGCACGATGAGCTGGTCGATCCCAAGGAGGGGCAGGTAAAAACGATCACTTACCCGCCGAATTGCACCAGCGTCCACCAGCCCATGGACATAGGAAGTATTGCGGCAACCAAAAGGCGCTACCGCGCCAGGCTGCTCGGTGTGCGGGTGTCGACCATGTCTGTGGCAGACACTCTACGCGGGCAGGCAAAGGAACGTAAGATGACGGCCGGTACGGCGGGATTGGCAGAGGGCCACCATGCTCACGTTTTGGACGCGGCGGAGCTGCTTGACGCAGCATGGAAGAACATCACGCCGGACACCATCTCCAGGTTTGTGGTTCTTGTCGTTTGTGTGAACATAAAATGATATTCGTTGACGCCCCCAATACCTTATCATCTGCTGTTGTTTCAGCGAGACCCTTTTGTCTCCGTGCGCGACCAAAACCTCGCTGTTTAGCACTGCTGTTTTGGTGTTGACCCCCCCCCCCCCCCCCCCCCCCCCCCCCCCCCCCCCCCCCCCCCCCCCCCCCCCCNAACCTCGACATCGTCCCGGGCCAGCCTGCCCACATGGCCGCCGCCAATGCGACCCTGGCCTGGGCAGGGCTGGAGGAGCAAAAGGAGGTTCAGCAAGACGCGCAGCAAGACGCGCGGGACGTGCCCTCAGAGAAAGTCAACAGCATCTTCGTGGAAGAAGCCAACCCTTCTGACGACGAGCTAGAGCTAGTCGAGAACGACGACGGCGACGATGGCACGGGGCGCGCGCAGGGGGCGGAGGGACCGCCACCGTATGCTGAGCTATATTCATTTTTTGGCCCGCTGGAGCACTTCGCGGAGTCTTCTGGCAATGGAGAAGCAGGGAGCTTTTTGCGCAAGGCTAAAAATGTCGTTCCATTCAGCATACGTTACTAAACCAGCATGGCAGGCAGACATCAGGGACTTCTCGTAGATGTAGGCAACGCATGCTTATTCAGGCCCGAATCTGCCGTACGGTAGCAGAAAACTCTTGTCCTTTGTTGCTGTGCTGCAGTTGTAGCCCGTGTACAAGGAAATTTCTCGTCATGGTCCGGGAGATGGTCGAGGCTTTGCAACATGTTGGTTGCGCGATTTTTTTCTTGGTTGTCTCGACTCTGTATGCGTTTGATGGGATGTGCGTGAAGTTTGCCTCGTATTACAATAGTGGCTAAGTGGCTAAAACGGCATTTTTTCTCTGATGGAAGACGTTAATACTCCATGAATCGAACTAAACACCACGAGGAAAGCGCTACCTAGACGATCACAATCGCCTAGCTTGCTTTTGGGCACGCCGATCCGCTTTACCACTCCACTACACGTGCATATATAGTCCACCACACACGCATACATGTAATACACGGCATCCTTGACTTGGACGGTGCCTGTAAGCGCCTTTTGTTTCTCGTTTTTCACGATTTTTCCTCTGAAAGAGGGTACCCCACTATTGAGGACTCCGATTTATAGAGGGTGACCCTCTTATACCGATGTAAGAGGGGGTCCGATATAAGAGGGTCCAGAGCCGTTGTTACACCACCCTCTTGTATCGGAACCACGACTGTACAATAATCTTAGATAGAGATGGGTTCGTTGGGTCATAGTTTGAAAATAAGTAAAAAAAAACGTCCCAATATGGTGCCGGTTTCGTAAGTGTACGGTAGTGTCGGGTGTGCCCGGGCATGTATAATAGTGCTGTTAAATCTCTGGCCACGAGTGCCAATCCTATAACTAAACCTAGATATCATTGTTCTGAATAGTGCCGGTGTGCGGTGTTGTGCCGGTCAAACCTCCGTGGGTACATAGCGGCACTATATCGGAACACCTGTTGTACCGTACGAAAATGGTATGCCGTTCACAGCGACCATTGTTCTGTGTTAATCATTGCGGTGTCTTTCAAAGTGGCTTCGTAGTGTACTCAAGGCTTAAAGGGCGTGGATGTGGGGACCTATTAGTTCGGCGATCGCACACAAGAACAAAAGGACCATGACAGAATCACGTACGTCACGAGAAAAAAAACTCATCAATACAAAGCGGTTGCAGAGGTCCTCCGTTGATATTACTATTTGCGTTGGATCGGTCCTCCTCTCTTTGTCTCTGTCCAACGTCCACCTGATGGATGTGTAAGAAGTTAGGCGGGCGTTGGATCGGCCGCCACTCTGTTTTCACGACGGCCAAACTGACGTTTATAACAACACAAACTTAGTCTATCGTCGGACGGCGGTCCTTCGTTAACCTCTGTGCGACGGTGTTCTTGTTTTATGGTCGTTCCGCCAAGAACAATCAACCGCTGATGATGATGCTGCTATAACTATTCTACCATACTGCTGGTGCTGCAGCGGGCCGTATGGCATTGCGTGTACTCTCTGCTGTATGCTTGCTTGGAACTGCGCTCTGTGCTCGGGGCGTACTAATAGTTTTCTTGCAATTGCAGTGCGGATAGCGGTCGACCCCACCGCCCGGACATCTCTTTTCGATAAGTGTTTCGACAAAGTGTTTGGGGGTTTATTCCTCCCTCCCCTCTTGTGCCGCTCCCCCCCCTGTGTTTACCATCGGGGTTGGGTTTTCGTCGCTTGGCAACGACGTTGTAAAACAAGCC